TTGTTTGGGAAATTTAATAAAGGTTAATCTAGACATACCCACAAGTATATATTGTAATTCTAACATTAGCACCCAACGTTTTAACTTTCAAAAGAGGTAATGATTTATTTTCAAACTACCCAAATAAATCATTTGTATTATATGTTATCTAACATCACGACCGATGGTGAGCGATTAAAATTTCGAAACATGAAAGTTTTTGTGTAGCGATATAAAATGTTTTTATTGCAATCTACTATTATAATAATATTTTAATAATATTATATTTTACTCTACGCTTGTATTGAGCACTTTTTTAAAAATTAAATGCTAAGAACTGTGGATTCTAACTCCATCTGTTCTACACAACAACCACCCCCCATATATATATATATATATATATATATATATATATATATATATATATATATATATATATATATGTATATATATATATATATATATATATATATATATATATATAACTATAGCGAGTGTAACTGCAAAACTGTCCAAATCGTGTAACATCATGGGATAACTGTCCCTCACACAAATTGTTTAATATCTAAAAACACGCTAAACTATTTTTCCAGGTTTTAAGATAAAAAAAGTTTGGTTATCTTGACACCATTTGTCGTATGAATCAATGAAAACCCTTTGAGTTATTCAGTTATAAAGAGAACGGGTTAAAATCGTTTTCTGTTATCCCCATTATGTCTTCCCAACTGAGCAATGGTGAGAGGAAAAAGATCACTCAGGCCTTCAATAATGGTACCAAAATCCATACTTTGACTTCTATCTTCAACGTCCAGACAAGAACCATCAAGAAAACGGTGAATATGTTTTAAAAAAGAGGGAACAGTAGAGACGAAAACTGCATCAGGGGGTCACAATGGCAAGAGGTGTCATCATTTCAACTCAGAGTTAAATACATTTTTATTGTTCAAAGTAGAGTCCAATAGCGTTATAAAATCTTTGGAGAATTCCAGTAAGATATCTTTAATCATTTCTAAGGTACAACGGTTCAAAACTTAATCTAACAATTGGACAATTTTGCTGTTACACGATTTGAACAGTTTTGCTGGTAATTTGATATATATATATATATATATATATATATATATATATATATATATATATATATATATATATATATATATATAAACCTCTTCCGCCTTAGTGGCTTTATTGCCTTGCTTGGGAGGAAATGATTAAAAAATATTTGATTTATCTTTATTTCGTTACTTATTTTAAAAGAAAAAAAAAAGAATGTATTTCAGTATTTTATGACCGGCACATCTCATCGTAGCTGACCTGCATCTCGGGAATTCAGCGTAGCAAAATACCTCCCACATGTATAAACTGACGAAAAACTGTCTTCCTTATTTTCAAGAATATGCCCGACGAATGTATATACCTATTGCATCTTTGATATTTTGGTGGTCGTACAGGGGAGGCAAAAGTTTGGGTTGGATAGTAGAGCGTGCGAGTAAAATGAAAAGCAAGCCGATTCGCGTGGGTGAAGTTTGTCGGATGGCGTGCAAGAATGGGGCGGCAGGCGTGCCCAGGTGAGCAGAAACAGCGTGGATCGCATTCGTCCGTGTCCCCATAAAAAGGCATCCTATACTCAAAATACAGTGATATAAGGCCGATCTTTTGACCCAGTGATATATATATACCAAAGTCGCCACGTGCACCAATCCATCTGCCAATATATCTTGGTATCGACCTTTCTCTCTTTATTAAATATTTTTATAGGTTTCAGAGTGGCGTAATGATTACCGTCATGGAAAAAGGGACTGGGTAATGGTCTCTACATTTCGACAGTTATTCTGCAGTTCCCTTCATGCTACAAACTTTGGGAAATGCATGAATTCACCTTTCCCTGTGCTGTGTCCCATCACAATGTATTTTGAAAAAAAATGTCTCGTTACTGGCATGCCACCATTACTGAAGGAAAACGGATAAGTGAGCACCTGTCAGACTATTCTCACATAATTACCTTACCGATTTCAACTCGGAACTAATTTCACCTCGTCACTAAGGGTTAGGGTTATGGTTAGGTTAGGATTAGGGGTTAGAGTTAGGGTTAGCGTTTTTTAAATCGAGTTGAAATTAGTTCTCTCACTCCATATATATATATATATATATATATATATATATATATATATATATATATTATATTATTGATTGAGGAATCGCAGAGCCGAGTTCGAATTCAGTCGAATCCACTGCATTCACTTACGTGCTAATACCCTTGGGAAAGGTATGTATCCTCTTCATCTCCCTCCAGCTATGGGTAAAATAGCAGGACAGACTGGGTTCTATAGCCTTGGATGGCAACTGGTCTAGGAGAAGGACAACTCTGAATTCAAAACCTGCGGAGGGTCGTTTGGGAACCTTGTGGCATGCATTCGGTGCACCAGGTTTCTGTATTCGTCCCTCCAAAAAGTATGGCTGGTCCTGCACAAGGCCTTCAACACTATAAACAAATCTCATGTGCCGGTTTTCTGGGGACTTATCGGCCTGACCCTCATACGTCGAACGCGACGGGAGAGTCGATTATATATATATATATATATAGGGTGTATCAAAACCATGTTTCAGAAAATAAGACTTCTCAGCTCCTGCAACTCGATCCTTTCTACTCTTTTGTTCGCAGTCGTATTGAACGTCAACATCTTGCTTATGTTTTAAATTTCATCCAATCCCTTCATATTCCATTAGTAAGACAGAAGTTCTACTCAGACAGCTACCTACAGAAAATCGCTACTTTATGAAACAGGCTCCCGCGAAAATGCCACTACGATCACTATGATCTTAAACACTTCCAGTCTTAGGTCTACTGTTAAATATCCTACATATCCTAAAGATTTGCGCTTACTTTCTCCTCTTACGTCCATAGAACAACTAATAAACTATTCTTTTTTCTTTTATCACGGAATTGGTAAGCATGATTCGCATATAAAGCTCCAACGAGATTCGAAGTTGTGTATTTACCTAACATATTTTTAATCATTTAAACCAGAGGTTCTCAACCGGGGTCCACATGGACCCTAGGGGTCCATGTAATATTTCCGGGGGTCCACAGGCAAAACACAAATTTATATTAGTGAAGAATAGAAAATTGTTCTTATGTCCAATAGCTATGAAGGGGTCCACCAAGATAAAAAGAAGGGGAAAGGGGTCCATGGGTAAAAAAAGGTTGAGAACCACTGATTTAAACCCAAGCAAAAGCGATAATGCCACTAAGACGCAAAGGAATTACTGAATGCGAAAGAATATGAGAAAAAGAAAACATTTTTAAGGAGAGAGAACAAAGAACAAAAAAGAACAGAAATTAAGAAGACGGAAGATAACGATTGCATTTAAATTTTTGAAGATCAATGTTGATTGGATATCAAGAAGCCGGATGTGTGCTCCACAAGCGAGAAGTTGTGTGTTTGCCTAAGATATTTTTATAATTTTCCACAACGTAAAGGTGATAATGCCGCTAATACGCAAGGGGGTTAATGAAAGTGAAAAAAAAAAAACTGGCAAAATTGAGGAGAGAGAGGACATTAAAAGACAAGAATTCAAGGAGAGAGATGACCACTGACGTTGCATTTAAAATTTTTGAAGATACTAGTTGGCGACAAAGAAAGAAACCGGGAGAGAGTTACACGAGCAAGAAGTTCAAGAGAAACGACTATTAACATAAAACTTGTAGCTACATGTAGTAATTTCAATTTTAAAATGATGAGACCTAGCTTCCAATCAAGTACTGCGCTTAAATTCATGAACTCGAGGTATCAAAGAGAAAAAAATCGCAAATTACAGAAGAATTACCGTGAAAGTATTTATAGAAAAAGCATTGGGAAGATACATTACGACGGTAAGAAAATGACTGAAACCGAGATGACAGGTCAGGACCGATATCATTGCAGATTCTTATTTGGATCCTATAAAATTATCAGATGTAGCAACAATATTCAATGCACATTATTTCCATTATTCGGACGATTGTCCTCATCTTTGTCGCCATATTTATCACAACGTTTCGGCCGTTATACGCTCCGGCCTTCAGGTGGTTGGAATTTCGAACTGAACCCTTTATTTCGCTCACTGGGGTAGACTGTTCTAGTTCCACGTGGCATATTTAATGGATGTCAGTTATCAGTTATCTCCTGTTAATTTCCCTCTGAAAGTTCTCTACTGCCTTAACCGGGTATTGAACTCACACTCTTTGGGTCCTGTCACTGGATCTAACCAACGCCTTTATCCACTATGCCATGTGTCCTTGAGGACAGTGGATAAAGGCGTTGGTTAGATCCAGTGACAACCACCTGAAGAAGGCCGGAGCGTACAACGGTCGAAACGTTGTGATAAATATGGCGACAAAGATGAGGACAATAGTCCGAATAATGTAAATAATGTACATAATACCTCATCTCAGAAATATAGACAGAATATTCAATGCATGGATGAATGGTAGATTTTATGAAGCACATGATAATTTTCGGCAAAAAGCTGAATCCGAAAATAAAATTTCACTTTTTTATTGCTTTTGACTCTGAAACGGATTGAACTGCAGGAAATCCAGGACTGCATCATAAAACGTCTACCAGGAGGAATATCCTTCAGATGCAACGGTAAAATGATGCTGAAAAATAACTATTTCCAACTGGTTAATTATTGACAAAAATGTTTTAATTATTGTTCTCAATTCAAAATGAATAATCTTTAACAAAACATATGAATGGATTTGTAAAAACATTGTAAATATATCTAATAAATGTTATGAGAAATTAGTGGATTCATTTTGTTTTCCTGTTTACGAAAATTAAACAGGCAGCAGTTAACCAGTTGACTGCTGTGTGCCGTCAGGTGTGGATAAACCTTGAAGTTGAATTGCGAACAAGATGGCCTGTAGAAACAAGCTTTGAAAAAATAAAATATATTGAGAGCGAGATGAAATAAAATAAAATATATTTTTTCTGCTGTCATATTTTGAAGAAGGTTGAACTTAAAACTTTTCGAACACCTTTCAAATAGATAGATAGATAGATCGATAGATAGTGAAAAGATTGGCATAGATAGATAGATAGATAGATAGATAGATAGATAGATAGATAGATATAGACTGTAACAGATAATGTGCAGACATAGATAGATAGATAGATAGATAGATAGATAGATAGTGAAAAGATGGCATAGATAGATAGATAGATAGATAGATAGAACAGAATGAGACAGACTGAAATGTGCAGACATAGATATAGATAGATATATAGATATAGATAGATAGATAGATAGAGAGAGAGATATAGACTGTAACAGATAATGCAGACATAGATACATAGATAGATAGATAGATAGATAGATAGATATGAATAGATGAGACAGATAATGCAGATATATATATATATATATATATAGAGAGAGAGAGAGAGACTGTAACAGATAATGTACAGACATAGATAAATAGATAGATAGATAGATAGATAGATAGATAGATAGATAGATAGATGAGACAGATAATAGACATAGATGAAGAATAGATGCAGACATAGATAGATAGATAGATAGATATAGATATAGACTGAAACAATAGATAGATAGATAGATAGATAGATAGATAGATAGATTCGAACAAACTGAAATAAAAAAATTATATCCATATATAAGAAACGACTGATACAATTACTCAGGTAAATATGATAATAAAGATAAAAAAAAATCAAACGAATGATCGAAAACAGAAATTCATACATCTGAACTTAACATTCACTCCAATTTATTTCTCTTTTAATTTTTGCTAATCACGACACAGCAGTTTAGTGGAACACCGTGGACTATATTCGTATACACAGGCAAAGACAAAAACCCTATAAAACACCCGAGATCTTCAGGTGGGTGACAAATTATCACATTACCGCGAATCAAGATGCCTTTCGCCGGGTGATGTTTCCGATCGGGTGACTGCGACCATACGCCCCTGAAACTTGATTTCAAGATCGAATTCTCTAGATCCACACATACCAAAGCGGGTCTCCCAGAAACTTGAACTCGTACTTATGTTCGCAGTATCGACTATCGGTTTCGGGGCGGTGTAAGATTCAGGTTTGTCATTCCCATATGCGACTGGCCACAACGCAGGTGTTGTTAATTACGTGCTGTATTCTACACACAAGGGCTTATCAATTTCTGCCATCGATCTAACGCATTCGTCACGTTTCATCATTTGAACCCAAGACTCACTTGTACTATTATTATTATTATTATTATTATTATTATTATTTATTAGTCTAATATTATCTTTGTAAATCATTTACAGCTCTTTAATGAAATTATTCGAAGCAAGTAAGAAAAATAAACGAGAATTCTTCGGAAACTTTGCAGAAAAACGAGGCTTAATAGACGCACTCAAATTCATTTAACTTAAATGCTGAGAGTTCACAGTGTGAATACAAATGTCTTTGTCCATATTAAGCGAAATTCAACGGCTTCATTATCAAATACGTGAGAAGAACTAAGCCTGCAAGAAGACAGAATGCATGTTTATCAGCAAAAGTCTTTGCCCAGAAAAGCAAATTACAAATCGGATATACTAAAATCAAACATGTACAAAAATTTAAATATCTGGGAAGTGTTCTAACAGAGGACGGAAAGTGTGACACTGAGATCTGAAGACATATTGGGATGGCTAAAGATGCTTTCCAAAAGCTAAGCAGAGATTTGATGGACAAAAAAATTTCGTAAGAAACAAAAAAAAAAAGAGTACTGAACTGTTATGTGATACCTGACCTCCAATATGACAAGCGAATGCTGGACACTCTTCTCAAAGATGAAAAAGAGGTTTGAAGCAACAGAAATGTGATTCTACCGAAAGAGGCTGAGCAACAACGAGGTTTTGGAGAAAATGGAAACAAAATAGAAACTTAAACTTAAAATCAGGAAGATGCAATTGAGGTATCTGGGACATGTAATGAGAAAGGAAGGCTTGGAAAACCTGATACTCACAGGACAGATTGAGGGAAAGTGAGACAGAGGAAAACAGTGCGTAAAATACTTGATGAAGTTGTGTAAATGGATTGTAGAACAGGGTTTTTGAGAAATAACAAAAAGATAACACTTAGTATGAGATACAAAGGACAGAAAGTTGTGGGGGTCTATGATCGCCTACGTTCTTAAGGGAGACGGCACATAAAAAAAAGTTCTTTAGAGACGCACTGTTATAAAGTTTATATAACGCTCATAGTTCTGGTTAATAATACTATAGGAAAACAAAAGGTTGAGTTAAGAACAGGTTGAATCAGATGATAGACATGGATTTAATAATACAGTAATAGAGAATACTGTAGTTTAGTGCGGCAATGCGTACAACTCAACTCTTACACCTTGTGACCCACTTTGCAACGACTGTTCCGATGAGCACACGTTCTACTCATAGAGGATGGACGAATCCATGTTCAGCAATTAGTGTAGAGAAGGTCGGTCGGCTTTCAACATAACAGTAATAAAAGGGGTAAATTGAATTTTTCACTTGACTTATGTCCCAGATTTTTGTATTATACTAAAGTAAGCCGCATCGCTAATAATGTCAGCAGTAACAGACGACACTGTATTGATAGCAGACGCAGAAAGGAAACTGCAGGTACTCCTACCGAAGGTAGTGAAGGAATACCCGAAGAAAAGACTAAAAATATGTTGTAAGAAGACAAAATTTATGGTTGTCATTCTGAGAAACAGCTCGAGGTGCAAACTCCAAATCGAAGATACCAAAATCGCGCAATTAAGAAAAGTTAAATATCTGAGAAGCATTTTAACAAAAGACAGAAAACATGACACAAAAATCCGAAGGTTTGGTTTGGTTTCGTTTCGTTTGGTTTGGTTTCGTTTCGTTTCGTTTCGTTTCGTTTCGTTTACGGGATATCAACCTCAATGGGTTATTTAATGCCGACATTTTTATTTCTGGTAATATTTTTCTTAAAAAATGTATGGCTGGTAATATCATTTTTTCCTCAAAATGTATAGCTGGTAATATCTTATTTTTCAAAAATGTATAGCTGATAATATCTTTTTTCTTCAAAAATGTATTTCTGGTAATATCTTCTTTTTTTTTTCAAAAATGTGTTGCTGGTAATAATTTTTTTTCCAAAGTATTTATGGCATTAAAACCTATTTTTACACTTACATAGTGTTTAGACCCTAGTTTGTGGGCTAACTATTTACCCACAGTTGAGACCCTAACAGGTGCTACCCCCCACCCCGGAGTCATAGTGTGCCTTGGAACACCAGCAATTAAGAGGTGGTTCCACGCTCCTCAAAACCTTCTGATTAGAGGCCTTGCTGTTGGACGTAGTTTATCGTGTTACCCAGGACGCAGATGTAGTTTATCGTCAAACCCAGGACGGCTGAAGATACGTTGGAATAACGAACGATACCTTCCAAAATCGAATCAAAGTATTAAGTAACAGGAAAATTTCATTAGAAACAAAGAAAAGAGTAATGAAGTTTTATATAATATCAATTCTCTTATGCGGCATTAAATGCTGGACATTCTCCTCAAAAATGAAGAAAAGATTTTAGTCAATAGATGTGTCGTTCTACAAAAGATTACGGAGAATAGTATGGCCTAAATATGTGATTAACGACTACGTTTTAGGGGAAATGGAAACATTTGGCTATTGTCTTCACTGGGGGTGATGGATCTTTTGCGTCACCTTCTGATCTTTTAACCTGTTCAATTTCTGTACTGGATGAGGTAAAAATAGTAAGGAAAAAATAATAAAAACGTGTTCATTTAAAAGGCAGCAATAATAAAATGACGGAAAATTGGCAATAAAATAATAACAATTTAAATGCTAAATCTAGAAAGAAACAATAACAAAATAAAACTCGTAATCTAAATGAATAAACGGCAAATTCTGTCTCTGTGTCTGAATCCTTCTAACTCGGGTCACACTTGTTTTACATAATATATTATACTTTTTTTTATATTCAGAATAATCCCGGGATTAAAAATATGCCCTTCATCTGGTGCTTGAACATCCGGCATTGTGTCCGGATGGGTAGGGGACAGATAAAAATTTAAATTGTAAAATAACTTTAAAAAGTAGAGTTTTTAAAATATTTCAATTTATATTGAGTTTCAAGTAACTGAAAAGATTAGGAATTTAAACATTTTTGCTTTAAATTCAGTTTAAAATATCACCAAAACATTTTAAATAGAGGAAATCAATTTTATTTCTACAAAATACCAAGGAAACAAAGTTAATGTAAGCGGTTTCGTGACGAGAGGTTTTGAAGTTCTACGAAGTTTGTGATTTGTAGGACTCAAATGAAATTCCACGGAGCTTGTGAACTGAAGAATTCAGTTATCGGCCTGAATTTTAATTTCGTCCCAAATCGCAGTTTCGGCCCAAATTAGTCTTCTGGCCGGAAATGAACTTAGAGCTTGAATCAGAGTTAAAGTGACGTTTTGAAGTTCCATGGAGTTAATTAAGGAATTCAAAGTTATTGCTTCAAAATTATCATTGTTGTTTTCTAAGCTAGACTAGAGGTCCCTTTAATTTTGGTCTGAGGACATAATTAGCCCCCCCCCACTCCCGCAAGAGCTAGCTTAAAAATTCGCTTTTAAGTCAGTAAATTAAACATAGACAAAATACTTCATCTAAAATTCAGCAGTACTAAGATGGATTCTAAAATTATTATTGTAAAAAGCAGTAATAATAAAACGGGATAAAACAATTAATGAAGTAATAATAATCGTCAGAATATTTAATCTAAAAAGCAAAAATATAAAACGTAGTAAAACTAATAATAAAATGATAATAATGAAAAGGCTTCAACTAAAAAGTAACAAATAAAACGAACTAAAACTAGTAATACATACTAGCTTTTTTACTTATTTCTTTTTACTTATTGCACACTAAGCAAGGCAATAAAGTCACTAAGTTGCAGGAGGTTTACTGAGTGTGAGAGAATATAAGAAAAAGAAAACATTATTAGGTAGAGATGGCAGTAAAAGAACGGGAATTAAGAATACATAATATGACGATTAATACTGCATTTAAAATTTTGAAGATGGAAAGCAAGAAGCAGGAAGAAAGTTCCACAAGCGACAAGTGAGAAAAAAACAACTATCCATATAGAAATTACGCTTACATCTAGTCATTTAAACCGTAAAAAAGATGGTACCTTGCCACCAATCATCAATACGATTAAATTTATAAAGTATAGGTAACATAAAAGAAAGTTCATCAGAGCCATAAAAGTATTTATAGAATAGGAAGCTACGTGACGACGGTAAGAAAGTGATTTAGGCCAGAACAATAATAAAAATGGATTAAGACTAGAAATAAAATAATAATAGCGAAAATGCTTAATCCAAATAGCATAAAAAATAAAACCAGAGAGATATAACATCCATATAAACGCTTCATCAAAAGAAAACGAAAATAACAACATCGAGAAAAAAATAGTAAAATTTCAAAAGAAACAACTCCATTGATCTTCGTTAATAAAAAAAAACGATGACAGGGAATCAAACAGGAAGCAATGATGATGATATCTCAGGTCATTACACTTTTCTTGCTTTTTTCTTTCTATGTGCCGCGTCACGTCACAGCTTCCTGTCCTTTGTACATTTAGCAATTTGTTTAGCTATCTCTCCTAATCACTGTTCCGTCAACCATTTATACAAGCTCATTAGGTAGATTATGTGCTGCCTTCCTCTGTCCATCACTATGTCCTGTGAGTGTCAAATTTTTTAAACTCACTTTCCTCTTTATATACCCGAGAAACTTCAAATCTCTAAGTATCTGTTTTGCTTCCATTTTCCATTAAACAACGTTGTTGCTCACACGTTCAGTTTATGGTATCCTCAGCATCCTTCTGTAGAAGCACATTTTTGTTACCTCAACTCATCTGCGAGTATAATTGTCTAGAATTCGCTGAGATACTTACGGATATTGTTTCTCTTACCCTGTCAATGTCTTCAGTTTTATTCTTAGTGTTCCATGATCGTTGTTAATTCGGTTTCTCTCTTAAAGTTATGTTTTTTCTTATCAAGGTTTATCATGTTAGAATTCCATTCATCATTAACTATACTGAGACATATTCGTGTTTACAATATAATGAATTAAACTTAAGGTGCAAAATAAAATCTCATAGTACCAAACAACTAATTGTAAATCTAGTCAATAAAAACAGATATTTTCAGGTGAATTTCACACGATATATTTACTATATAAATAAAAGTGTTTACCAAGGAGTTAACCAGTATGGAAACCTTGCTTTGAAAACATTGACTTGCATGATAAGACACTCTCTTTAACACACAAACATACACACACACATATATATATAATCAAGTATATTTATTTCTTTATAAATATTAATTATTGATCTCAACCTCTTTCTCTCTCACTCTCACTCTCTCTTTCTCTTTCCCCTCATTCTGACTCTCCCTTTCTGTCTCTCTCTCTCTTTCTATTAATATATATATATATATATATATATATATATATATATATATATATGAAGAAAATATACTCTTAAGGTGGGTTATTTATGGGATAAAGTGCTCAATATCAGAGATAGGATGTGTAAATTTTATATATATATATATATATATATATATATATATATATATATATATATATATATATATATATATATATCAGAAATATGAGACATCATGGCATAGCCTCACTTCTTTCCATTCAACAACTCACTGTGATAAAAAACTGTGTCGGAATTTGTCGTTTTATGTTATCGGGAAATTTGGATAAGTTCATATTTACTTTTATATTTTATTATTTTTTCAGAGTACTTTCGAATGTTTATATCCAACTCTTTTTCTCTTTTACTTTTTTCCTATCTATCTATTTATCTGCCACGGTCTGTTCATATCTCTCTCTCTCTCTCTCTCTCTCTCTCTCTCTCTCTATATATATATATATATATATATATATATATATATATTTTTGTTTGAAGTTATTAACAAATCATATAAACATCAATAATTCAAATTTGGTTTGAAAAACGTCAAATTTGAAAAATCAATTTAGATGTCAAAACAAAGCCTGAGTTAAGTAGTATTAATATGTTTTATTGAAGTTATTTGATGTATTTTATTGAAGTTATTTGAGATATTCTAAAAACCTTCTGAAGTTATTAGGTAAAACCAATAATCAAAAGGTAATAAAATCATCAAAAATTGATCAACACCTATAACAGAACAAATAACAAACACATATGATAAGTCTTTGAATCCCTTACATTTTAATATATTGTCCCTACTTCTCTATTACAACCAGTAATCAATTATCCATTGATTTTGTTAACTTTTTTCTTACTTCAGCAGGTTCAATTTCCGACATGGTAAATTAATTGCTTCCCATAAGTCTGTTTTGCTGTTATATTTTTTTGCCAACTTCATATAATTACAATTGACCATAGATATTCAATCGGATTCAGATCAGGACTTGATGTAGGCTATTCCATTATCTTCTCTCCTGTGAATCTTTGATGCTCAAAGAATTCACGGGTAGCTTAGCTACATAAGAAGGAACATTGTAGTGCAGAAATACACACTCCATTTTGAAACTGCGAGACTGGAAATTGTACCACGCAAAGAAAATCGTTTAATCGCAATGGTTATCATTCGATGACCTCTGTAAAGCTCCTTTGATATCTCCAATATGGACATTCCCTCACTCAATTAACGGATCAATATCCCTATTAATAACTTATTTTTTCGATATTTGCCTACCAGCACTCTATTTTTTATACGCAATACAATATTATATTTAATTAATCTTGAACTTTGAATCAACAAGACAATATAACGTTGCTCACATGAGACTCAGAAATTAAAACAAAAAACGTATTGAAGAGTTCGTAAATTGTTGTACCTGATGATTGACAAAGCCATGAAAACCTGAGTCTTACTGTATTTAATTAAACAAAAACAATTGATTAAATATACATGAAATGCAATACTTGAAAACGAATGTAGCAACATTCGAAAGTACCCAGTAAAAAATAATATAAAATAAAATCAAAAAAGTATGAATTTTGGAAAAGTTACTGATAGCATAAACAACTTCAAGAATTATTGCTGCCGAAATACACCTTACATATTAATCTGCATATCCATACATCTCTCTCTCTCTCTCTCTCTCTCTCTCTATCTATCTATCTATATATATATATATATATGTATATATATATATATATATATATATATATATATATGTGTATGTATATGTATATATATATGTATATATATATATATATGTATATGTATATATATATATATGTATATGTATATATATATGTATGTATATATATATATATATATATATATATATATATATATATATATATATATATATATGTATGTATATATATATATATATATATATATGAATATATATATATATAAAAATATATATATATATATATATATATATATATATATATATATATATATATGCATGCATATATAGATTAATAGATATTTATTAAGGACACATGTGTGTATTTACGCATGGCTACAAAAGTGAGTTTTCATTTGCATGCGGTTAATAGGTGCAAGGTTTGTACGTTCGAAACTGAAAGCAGGAATAATGTTCTTATGGTACAAGTTATATTTAATTCGTGGCAGGTGAACGCTTTTGTATGCGAAATAATCCCCTTGGCAATGTTTGTACTGTAAGCAAGTAAATGCTTTGTTTTGTCGCTTTCAGGGTTTTTCATAAGCTTATTGTATGGAATAAAGCACAGAAATGTCTACACCATCCTTTATATATATATATATGCTCTGTGTGAGTGTTTTGAGAAGGAAAAGAAAGGCAGGTAGGTAGTGGTAATGATTTATACTGAAAATAATTATGCGACCGATACAATTATGAATTGATTGATATGATGACAAACCTTATATATATATATATATATATATATATATATATATATATATATATAGAGAGAGAGAGAGAGAGGGATAAACTGCCTATGATAGATGAATAGAGAAAGAGAGATAAACTGACTGATAGATTTGAACAGAGATATACATAAATGGATATATAAATAGACAGATAGAATTAAATAGATAGATAGATAGATAGATAGATAGATAGATAGATAGATAGATAGATTTATTTGTACAAGGAGATAGCTAAATAGATAAACAGACCGTGATAGGTTTGAACAGAGAGATACATAGATAGATAGATAGATAGATAGATACATAGATAGATAGATAGATAGATAGATAGATAGATAGATAGATAGATAGATAGATTTATTTGTACAAAGAGATAGCTAAATAAATAAACAGACCGTAATAGGTTTGAACAGAGAGATACATAAATAGATAAATAGATGAACAGACTGATATTTTTAGATAGATAGATAGATAGATAGATAGATAGATAGATAGATATTTATTCTTTTTCTACGACTTATCAACCCTTTGCAGGAGAGATCTTTTCAGTCAAGAAATGTTCTATTGACATTTAATGCACATTCACTTGTTTAGATTTCCTCGAAAGCCATACGTGAGTTAGGCGTACCGAGTTCAATTCACGCTCGATTCAGTTTCGTTCCCTTCGCGCCCATGTCCTTGCAAAGGACATGAATTCGTCTTCCTCGAGCTATCGGTTAAACAGCATAGTTCTCTTGCCGTGGAACAGGCAGCCAGTATGGAAGAAGAAATCTCCAAATTCAAAACACCTGAGACTATCCTGCTCAAGACACTGCTGTTAAGGTATGCATTAAATGTGGTCTCTCACGACCCTAATGAGTTACTGGACACATACGTATATACACGCACATACAACAAAGTAATCATAATAATGTGCATGAGTATATGCACACGCATTCATTACATCATATTTTATGAATGGAAAATTACCTTATATATCTTTTGATTCTCAAAGAATTGTACTTTGAGGATCCAAAGTGGGCAATGTCTTAAAACGTGAGAAACTGATTCAAACGTATCTACTTAATCGCTTGAGACGCCATTGTGATTGGAGACTTGATGGAGGAATTTCCGTTGTTTTATCGGTTGAGTTTCTTTTCATTCATTTTTTGTAGTAGTAGTAGTAGTAGTAGTAGTAGTAGTAGTAGTAGTAGACAGGCCCATTAATGAGGTTACTTCTTTTGTTGAGGCTAAACCTCTTTTGGTTCTTTTTTTTATTTTATTTTAGTTGGCAGATTCATTGATGGGATCCAGTTAGCGACAGAGAGCATCGCTTGTAAATTAAAAAAAATAGAAACTGAATCAGGTTCACTGGAGCAGATCACCAGTCTTTGAGAAAAAAATATACATATATTGCGTTTGTTTAATCATGCATGGCTTTCATAGAAGTTTATTTGTGTAATCTACAGAATCGCAGGATATTATCTGGTATATTATCTTCGGCCTTTTTCTTTTCATTTCTTTCATATTTTCTTTATTTTGCCGACATGTTTTCATATTATCCTTACTGATATACAAAAAAGTCCCTTTTTCCACCTTACACGTAAAATAAAGGTAAAATAGAAAGAGCAAGAGTCTATATATATATATATATATATATATATATATATATATATATATATATATATATATAAACTAATATTTTTGAATGATTTTTTCCACGATCAGGTAGTACCGTTAGTTGAACATTTCAAACCGGCAAAAATTGTTCAGTTCTTCTTGGAGCCCCATACAGAAAAACAAAAAAACAATCTTGACAAATCTCTACATTGACGTCCTATAGGACACTCCGTGGGATGGGAATAGAACACTGAATTTGAAAATGTCAAATAAAATAGGAGGAGCTTATTTATACAATTATCCCGATTTGTATATAAAACCGTTACGCTTTTAACACTTAGGATTAGAGTGTAGTACCTGTCCTCTGTTCTATTTTTACAAACTGAAAATCAGTTAAGCTTTATGGCTGAAAAACCGAAATTGCAAGAATTTGAAAAAGCGAGCAAGTGGAAGGACTTAAGAAAGTAAACGATTAAAAAATATAAAGAACACAGGGAGAAATTAAACATAGAGATGTTTATACAATTTTCACCAGCCCACCGGCCACCAGGCCCAAGAGTCAGTCAAGGTAAAAGGTTACTGAATGGGGTTGTTTTATGGACGTAAGAATTGAAGATTACGAGAATATAGTGGACAGATAAAGGTTGATCCTAGACTTGAAGAGTTTAAGATTATAGTCTTCGGAGAATCTTCTTCTCGGAAAACTGTTCCACAAAGTAGTGGTTCTTGAGAAGAAACTGTTCGGATGAAATATCCTTCTTAACTAAAGGAATACGAAAGAAATGGGAATGATTTCTACGGGACATGTCGGATCCTTTCTGTGACATCCTGGACATATAGAACTAAGAAATGTAACTCAAAAGAACATGAAAATAGCGATCGAGGAGCAATAGGCTTGCGACGTTTGGTCTTCCTTTCACTCTCCTTTCGGCTATATTTTCTCTTCCTTTCTCTCTCTTTTTTTCGTTTCTCTATTCTATCTTCCTTCTTTCTTCATCTATCATTTCTGTTCCTTCCTCTCTTTCTTTGTCTCTCTTTTCTCTTCCTCCTTCTCTTTCTACGTTTATATTTTCTTTTCCATCCTCTCTTTCTTTGTCTCTCTTTTCTCTTCCTCCTTCCTTTTCTACGTTTATATTTTCTTTTCCACCCTCTCTTTCTTTGTCTCTCTTTTCTCTTCCTCCTTCCCTTTCTACGTTTATATTTTCTTTTCCATCCTCTTTTTTTGTTTCTTTTTTCTCTTCCTCCTTCTCTTACTACGTTTATATTTTCTTTTCCATCCTCTCTTTCTTTGTCTCTCTTTTCTCTTCCTCCTTCCTTTTCTACGTTTATATTTTATTTTCCACCCTCTCTTTCTTTGTCTCTCTTTTCTCTTCCTCCTTCCTTTTCTACCTTTATATTTTATTTTCCATCTTTCTCTTTCTTTTCTCTCTTTTCCTCTTCCTCCTTATTTTCTTTTTACGTTTATATTTTCTTTTTCCTCCCCTCTCTTTTTTTTTTCTCAATTTTTTCTCTTCCTCCTTCCCTTTTCTACGTTTATATTTTCTTTTCCACTCTCTCTTTCTTTGTCTCTCTTTTCTCTTCCTCCTTCCCTTTCTACGTTTATATTTTATTTTCCATCCTCTCTTTCTTTGTCTCTCTTTTCTCTTCCTCCTTCCCTTTCTACGTTTATATTTTCTTTTCCATCCTCTTTTTCTTTGTCTCTCTTTTCTCTTCCTCCTTCCTTTTCTACGTTTATATTTTCTTTTCCATCCTCTCTTTCTTTTTGTCTTTTTTCTTTTCTCTTTCTTCTTTTCCTCCCCTTTCTTTGTTTATATTTTCTTTTCCACCCTTTCTACGTTTTTTTCTTTTCTCTCTTTTTCTCTTTTCCTCCTCCCCTTTCTACGTTTATATTTTCTTTTCCATCCTCTCTTTCTTTGTCTCTCTTTTCTCTTCCTCCTTCCTTTTCTACGTTTATATTTTCTTTTCCACCCTCTCTTTCTTTGTCTCCCTTTCTCTTCCTCCTTCCCTTTCTACGCTTATATTTTCTTTTCCACTCTCTCTTTCTTTGTCTCTCTTTCCTCTTCCTCCTTCCCTTTCTACGTTTATATTTTCTTTTCCACCCTCTCTTTCTTTGTCTCTTTTTCTTCCTCCTTCCCTTTTCTACGTTTATATTTTCTTTTCCACCTCTCTTTCTTTTGTCTCTCTTTCTCTTCCTCCCTCCCCTTTCTACGTTTATATTTTATTTTTTTCCATCCTCTTTTTTTGTCTCTTTTCTTCCTCCTTTTTCTACGTTTATATTTTCTTTTCTTCCTCCCTTTTTTTTTTCTCTCTCTTCTTCCTCCCTTCTACGTTTATATTTACGTTTCCATCCTTTTTCTTTTCCACTCTCCTTCCCTTTTTACGTTTGTATTTTCTTTTCTCTTCCTCCTCCCTTTCTACCTTTTTTTATATTTTATTTTCCATCTCTTTCTTTGTCTCTCCTTTCCCTTTTATTGTTTATATTTTCTTTTCCTTCCCTTTCTACGTTTATATTTTCTTTTCCATCCCTACGTTTTATTTTTTTTCTCTCTTTTTCTTTTCCTCCTCCTCCCTTTCTACGTTTATATTTTCTTTTCCATCCTCTTTTTCTTTGTCTCTTCTTTTTTCCTCTCTTTTCTACGTTTTATTTTATTTTCCTCCTCTTTTCTTTTTTCTACGTTTATATTTTCTTTTCTACCCTCTATTTTATTTTGTCTCTCTTTTTCTTTGTCTTCCTCCTTTTACGTTTATATTTTCCTTTTCTACGTTTATTTTTTCTTTTCCATCCTCTTCTTTTCGTTTTTTCTTTTCTCTTTTCTCGTCCTCCTTCTCTCCTTTTTTACGTTTATATTTTCTTTCCCCTCTTTTCTTTTCTTTGTTTCTTTTTTGTACGTTTATATTTTCTTTTTTCTTTTTCTTTGTCTCTCCTCCTCCTTCCCTTTCTACGTTTATATTTTCTTTTCCATCCTCTTTCTTTTGTCTCTTTTTCTTCCTCCTTCCCTTTTTACGTTTATATTTTCTTTTCCTTTGTCTCCCTTCTCTTTTTACGTTTATTTTTTCTTTGTCTCTCTCTTTTCTTTTCCTCCTTCCCTTTCTACGTTTATATTTTCTTTTCCACCCTCTCTTTCTTTGTCTCTCTTTTCTCTTCCTCCTTCCCTTTCTACGTTTATATTTTCTTTCCATCCACTTTTTTTTTTGTCTCTCTTTTTCTCTTCCTCCTTCTCTTACTACGTTTATATTTTCTTTTCCATCCTCTCCTTCTTTACGTTTATATTTTTTTTCCATCCTCTTTTTTTTTTTCTTTTTATCCTCCTTCTCTTACTACGTTTATATTTTTTTTTCCACTCTCTCTTTCTTTGTCTCTCTTTCCTCTTCCTCCTTCCCTTTCTTTACGTTTTATTTTTTTTTCCACCCTCTCTTTCTTTTGTCTCTCTTTTTTTTCTTCCTCCTTCCTTTTCTACGTTTATATTTTCTTTTCCATCCTCTCTTTCTTTGTCTCTCTTTTCTCTTCCTCCTTCCTTTTCTACGTTTATATTTTCTTTTCCATCCTCTTTTTCTTTGTCTCTCTTTTCTCTTCCTCCTTCTCTTACTACGTTTATATTTTCTTTTCCACTCTCTCTTTCTTTGTCTCTCTTTCCTCTTCCTCCTTCCCTTTCTACGTTTATATTTTCTTTTCCATCCTCTTTTTCTTTGTCTCTCTTTTCCCCTCCTCCTCCCCTTTCTACGTTTATATTTTCTTTTCCATCCTCTTTTTCTTTGTCTCTCTTTTCTCTTCCTCCTTCCTTTTCTACGTTTATATTTTCTTTTTCACCCTCTCTTTCTTTGTCTCTCTTTTCTCTTCCTCCTTCCCTTTCTACGTTTATATTTTCTTTTCATCCTCTCTCTTTCTTTGTCTCTTTTCTCTTCCTCCTTCCTTTTCTACGTTTATATTTTCTTTTTCACCCTCTCTTTCTTTGTCTCTCTTTTCTCTTCCTCCTTCCCTTTCTACGTTTATATTTTCTTTTCCATCCTCTCTTTCTTTGTCTCTCTTTTCTCTTCCTTCCCCTCTATCTTCCCGTAACTTTCCTTATCCGTCCTCTATTTCTTCGCTTCTCGTTTCTCTTTCTTCCTCTCTTTCTTTGTCTACTTTTTCTCTTCTTTTCTTTTTTTTCTTCGCCAGCCTTTTCTGTTCTTTCCTCTCTTTCTTTCTCTACTTTTTCTCTTCTTTCTTTTTTTTTTTTTCTTCGGCAGTCTTTTCTCTTCCTTCCTCTCTTTCTTCGTCTCATTTTTTTTTCCTTCCTCTCTTTTTAATTCCTTCTTCTCTTTTTTCATCTCTCTCTTCCTTTCTTTCTTCGTCTCATTACTCTTCCTTCCACTATTTCTTCATTTTCTATTTAGGCCTGCATTTTCTTCCTTTTTTCACAATATCTTTCTTCTCCACTTTAAATGTTCTTCTCTATATTCAATATCAAACAACAAAAAAAATTTTGTAATTTGCAAAAAACGTTTATTTTATTCCCACGTCAACTAAATAAAAAAAAAACATGGAAATATACTAAGAATATATTTGTCGTCACTTTTGTATAATAGAAAGAACACACGTTGATATTTATATATTTAGAAAATATGAGAAACTTGAAAGGTTTTTGTGACGCGTTTGATCCGTTATAATTTCATTGGACTGGGCTTTGTTGACGTTGCCACGTCTACACATACGAAACGAGAGACGCAGGTA